GCATTCAGCAGGCATACTTAGCAAGCTAAGTCAAGTGCATGCACCTTAGAGAACCTTGACCTGTGCAGCTCCTGTGGAGCCCTGCTGGCGGCCAGCCAAGCTGGAAGAGTAAGGCTGGTGGGTTTGTAGGGTGGCATAGAGCAGTCTCAAAGGAGGCATCTGCTTTTGGGCTGCACAGCCTCCCCCTCATGTCCCTCCCATCAAGTCTAGAATCCACAGGGTGAAGGCCAAAGCTAAGCCAACCAGAGTCTGATCACAGGTGGTTCCTGATGCCCGCTTGGGGCCAGGGTATGCCCAGAGTGCACTGCTTTCCAGTGCCCTACCAGCACCAGCCAGCCTCTGGGCTGCTATCAGAATTAATTACCGCACGCCATTGGGGATCCCACAGGCAACTAATGAGCTAATTAACTTGTTACTGTTCCCAGTCCACAGTGCACCACCTCCTCCAGAGCTCCCCAAGGATGATACAGATGAGATCCTTTCCCCCAGCAAAAGCCTGCCAGGACACCCCATTGCCCACCACATGAGGAACAAACTGGGCCAACTGCTCGGGACCCCCCGCCAGGAAGTCATTGATGCTTTCCTATCCTGGCATTGCCATTTGAGCCACAGGATCTGTCTGCTGTTCCAAGAGCTGTTTCTGCCTGAAGCGTCCCGCCACCGCCCCCAGATCCCTCTCTGTGGCCACCCGCCCTGTCTCCCCATCTCCCCCAATACTTCTCTCCTTTCCTGAAGTCCAAATCCATTTGGAACATCTTCTGGGCCTCAGATCTCTTCTGACTTAGCCTAGAGAACCTGCCCAGCCCCTGCAGCGCACAGCTCTTGCACCTTGCAGATGCCATTCTACAGCTGCACTTGTAGTCTTTCTTCCCCAACAGCAAGCCCCTGGTGACTGCATTCCAGCAGGTGCCCTATATTTGCTAAGCTTGGGCCAGGAGCAATTTCTAAGGCCTGGTTTCTCTTTAGGGCTCCAGGGACCCCTGAATCCTGGTTCTCTGTGGCTCCCCACTTCTTTAAGGTATTAGAGAGGCATCAGCTGCCTATCTAAAAGGCCCAGCTCCCTTGAGCTGCTAAAAAGGGAGTTCCAGGGAAGAGATGGGCAGGGGCTAGTGTTCGGAACAGAGGACCCTGGAAAGGGTGAGGGAGCAGCAATGGGTTGTGACCCCACAGGAAGGGAAAACTCTGCTCTAGCTAAGACCCCCAGTTGACCCCCCACATGCCTCCTGGAGCACAGCGTTCAGGGCTGCCTCCAGGGTCAGGGTCTGGAGGTGGCAGGGCCAGCAGGGACTTTTGACTTTCTCACTTCTCTACTTGGGGATACACCTGCTCCTCTGTCTCAGATGAGAACTGGTGGAAGGCTGCTGATTGCCAGGCCCCAGTCAGATCCCTCAATCTGGGAACAGACTGCCATGGAGGCTGGCACAGGTAGCAAGGCCCACATTGGGAGTCCCTTCTTTAAATACTTAGAAAACAAGCCAAGGCTTGCCACTTTAACAAGAGCCTCTGTGTGGCAAAGGCCCCCACAGAGATGCCCAGATAAGCTGGATGCACCTGGAAGGGTTAAAAACTTCTGAAGCTGAGGCTCAACCTCAGTCCCTCCAAGTACAACAGGGAAAGGGGCTTGATGGCCAGCATTGACTCAAGTGTCCACGCAGGACACACAAGCCTCCCACACCTGTCTTCCCCCAACAGGTGAGACCACAGGCCGATGGAAGCTGCAGGTGCACACACAGCACTGTATTACAGATGGGTGACTCGCTCTGGCTAGAACAAGCCTCAAGAGAAGAGCCAGACAGCTGCTGCATGGTCAGGAACCTGTCAAGTCTATTAAACCAGCCAGAGTGAAAAAATTAATTGTGGAGCTTTCAATGCTGGTTAAGACACCTGCTTCCCCATCAGAGTGTCTGGGTTGGAGGCATGCTTCCACTTGTGACTCCAGACTTCAACCAGTACCCTGAGAGGCAGGAGGAATGGCTCAGGAAGTTGGGCTCTGCCACCCATGTGGGCACTCACCCCTCCCTAATGATCTTCCTACCTTTTTCTGTTGTGTATGCTCAGGATGACTTGTGCCTGCTGTGTACACATATGGCAGCGATGCTAGACGTATGGCACTTTCCTCCCGCAGAGGAGCTGGTTGTTAAACATGCAACAGCACAACACCGGGTATGTGCACCTGTCACACAGGGACACTCTCTGTGGGACACCCCTGCCCCACACTGTCCTGATGATGGCAAGGGTGAGATGCACTCATTGGAGCCCAGGCCAGTAGCATTGGTGGACCAAACTGCCAGATGAGGTGATGGGAGTAGGGGCTGGGCCCATGCCCTCCTGCCTCACTCCCAGTGACCAGGAGTTGGGGACACCAGGGTCAGCAGCAGGCTAAGCATGCTGGGTGGCCAGATGTGTGTTTGCAGTGAGAGCCTAGGGAAGAGTAGAGAGAGGCAGAGAGCAAGACCCAACCTGTCGGCCAGCCAGAGACAGATGCTCCCTGGAGCCAGACTCCTTTCAAAAGCCTTCCAGCCTTGGAAACTCTGACCCAAGAGTGCCCTACTCACTGCAGGATGGCTCTCAGGGCAGGCACCCCCAGAGAGGATGACTGGCACCCTCGCCATCTCTTTGGCTGGCGTCAAGCTTCAGGGATGTCACAATGGTGATAGCTGATGATGGTCATGTGCCAGGAACTGCACGTGTTGACCACCTTGCACCTGCTCATCTCCATCCCAAAGACCAAGGAAGGGAGTTATAGAGAAGATAAGGACCAAGATGCTGGGCAAGATGGTGACGGAGTCAGGCTGCAAACCCAGGCAGGCTGGCTGACAACCAGCTCTTAATGGTCCCATTCTGTCCAGGCTGAATGGGAAGGAGGATGTGTGAGAGGGCCATTGAGGCTTTGGGATAATTCCTGGAGCTGGGGGGTGGGGGAGAGCATGGAAGGGAGTGCTGACAGCACAATAACTTGACTCAGTAACCTACAGGGCCCTGAGTAAGTGCTCATTCTTTACTCCAGTCACTGTACAAATTTAAACAGGTTGTCAAGGGCCGGGCACAGAGCTGGGGTGCACAGGGCTTTTTCCCCAAGACATCAGGGCCCTGGTACCTGCCCAGCTCTGGGGTTCAGGCAAGTGTGGCCCCCTGCCACCCATCCTGGACTACAGTGACCACAGGGACAGGAAGAGGCTGGTCTCACACAAATCTCTGCCACATGGGGTGATGTGAAGGATCAGAAGAGACTGTGCTGAACACCCAGAGATTAACACTTAAAAAATAATTATCTGAATGTGGTAGGGAGTCTGGGATTCTTCAGTGAAGATGATAAAATTGCCAATGAGGGAGCGAGCATTAAAAAAAAAAAAAGACACTCGCTCCTGGTTGCTGGGAATGTTTAAGGAGAGCACATTCCTGCACTACCCCTCTTCCAACCCACCTCCAGGAAGATCCAGATGAAAGAGCAGCGGACGCAGGCTCAGAGGCTCCTACTTGCCCAGGCCAGGCAGGAAGCCTCCTCATTTATGATCCACCTGCCATTCTCATATCTAAATCAATCATAGCGCAGCCTGCTGGCCGCTTCTAACCACCACAAGCCCGGTCCTTTACAGACAGCAAGTGGGGCTGGATGGCAGGGCAGGGTTTGCAGCAGCCCCTCCCAGGCCACACACCTTAGGATGCAAATGGTCAGGTGAGAGAAGAGAATCCAAACACCACCTGTGGGACACTTCGGGAAAACTTCAAGGATAAAAACCAAACTTAACCCTCAGCATCCGAGAGCTGCGCCGACACCACCGCCCTGCTGCAAAGGTGGATCTGACCACTCCTTCGTACCCCTGCCTTTTTCACCAGCATCATCATAACACCTGCCACCTTTCCAAGTCAGCGCCAAGGCAAAGCCAAGAATTACAGGCAAAGCCTCAGCCACCTTTTCTAACACACCTGGTCAGGCTTCCAGAAATGACTGTGACCTGGTAAATCAGCTTTGGCTGGAGGGAACCTCAGCTGTTTTTAGGGTGTCCCAGGTCAGAGAAGGGTCCTGTCCACAAAGGGCTGGCTGGAACACTAGCCCCCCATTCCCTGTACTGGCTCCAGAAATGGGTTCAGTATTATCACCCCTCCATGCCTTTCCTGGTCTGAGTCCCAGCAACCCTACTCGGAAGAAAACACAGCACAAGGTTTTCCCTTCATCTTGTAATCCATTCAGTTTTGTGGGAGAGAGGCTGCATTTTCCCCAGCTCTGCCAAGCAGCCTTTCAAAACAGCCATGAGTTCCCGGGCTGACCCGTGGTTTGCGAAGCTCCCTACTCAACAGGTGGATCAGTGGCAGAGAGGAGGACCGCCCCCCCCCCCACACACACACAAACCCTAAGAGGCAGCTGAGAGCAGGAACAGCTGATTTCAGGAGAGAGGGGGCAAAGAATGGGTGAGAACAGGCCTGCCTGCCTTGGACATTCCTGGGGTTTGCCACCTGCATTTGAAAACTCCTAAGCAAGCAAGGTAGCTATGGTGGCAAGGGTAAGTTGCAAAGTGGGCATTTTGTGAGAAGTGAGACCAACAAGAGGGCTACCCACAAAATGATGGCAAGAGGACGCTCCCACCTGCTCGCCTCCCTGCACCCCTTTTGCCAAGGAGCATGCGACTTGCCAGCATGCCCAGCCCTGTAGGTGCACCTGCACCGGAAGAGCCTGCTCTGTACCCGAACCTGACCGGTGCAAACCCAAAGCCCCTTCCGCTCCCCTGACCCCGACCCAGTACATGAGAGTTTCATAACTCACCAGGACACAGAGAAATCAGGAGATTTCCCCCCAATCTGCAGCACCCCCTTCCCCACACCGGCTGCTTGTGCACCCCCTAGTGAGGGGCACCACGCCAGGGACAGATGTGTCCCCAAGGAGCGGCTGCTTGAGTTCCAGCGACAGAGGCTGGAGCTTCAGCAAGCTGGACGCAGGCGGCATGTCCTGGGGCTCGGACGGCCTAGGTCAAGCAGGGCCCTGGGCACGGCGGCGACCTTACCCGGGCATGAGACCAGGGGGCACGTAGGCAGCATTGAATTCGGTCAGCAGGGTGCCCGCACTGCGAGAGGCCATGGTGGGAGCAGCAGGCGCAGGTCTTGCCTGACCGTAAACAGCCCAGCGGATCACCCGGCAACCAAGCACCTGGCAACAGGGTCGGGCCGTGGGGTCATCGCTGTGGCCTCCCGGGGTGGGGGGTGGGGGTGGATCCCAAGTCGTGCTGTCCCCATGTGCTGGCCCTCGCGCAGCCACCTCTGGCTTGCACAGTGGTCGAAACTGTTTGTGGTCCTGCTCCTCAGATGTGGGACCCAGAGACCCCGTGGGGTTTGTCCCGTGTGCTGCTTTACCAGCTCAAGATACCCAGGTGTGGAACCTGGCGGAGAGAGTGACAGACTGGAGAGTGTGCCCAGAGCCTGCTCCAAGCCCTAACCCGGGCTGCTGAGGCCTAGTACTGGGGGTGACAGCATGGAGACAGCATCGAAGATGCTTCATGCTTTGTGACAGCGACCCTGTCCCTGCCTACCCACGTCCCGGTACTGCAACTCTGCAACAAGGAGAGGTCAGACAGGGGCAAGCGTGGATTTCACGACTGGACTGTGTAAAGGCAGCTGGGAAAAAAGGAACGCTAATGAGTTCACAGGCGGCTGTTGCTGCTACCGCTAGAATTCTCCCGAGACTTTCCCTGACAGCTAACAGTGGAAAGGAGACAGCCGGCGGGGGTACAAGACAGAAGACCCCGTGAGGCCTGCTGGAGGCAGGGTGGGGGGAAGGGGGAGCCACAGGTAAGGGGGTTGCAAGCCCAGGCAAAGGCGCATCTGCCCTGCCCGCCGCGTGCAGGCAGATTTGCTTCTGGGTTCTCCCGGGGGGCCTGACTGCAGTAGGAAAAGCATCCACTGACCTTGTTAATAAGAGCCCTGCCTCCTGTTGTTGGGAAGTGCCCCCCTGCTGCCCAACAGCAGTCTCTGGGTGTGTCTGCCTAGACTGGGCTCCGTCTGTCACTTCTGCAGGCGTCTAGGCCAATAGCCTAGCTGGAAGTTCAGCAGCCATGTGTGACATTGGTTCCTTCGTGGGTTCCATTCTGGGAAACTAGGTACACACATGAGTTTCAGAATGTTTGCACCGAAATTAATTTACCTTTTAATTCAATCTTTTCCACAAGCTTTCTGAATTTCTGGAGTATAAAATAAAGTTGTCCAAACAGGTGACAGACAGGAAAAAGGAAATTTCAGAATGAGAGACCCGGGTTGGATTTCGGGGCGGGTCAGGTGACTGGGAAGCCTTCATGGTCTTATTATAAGCAGGTCCCCAATATATCACCCCTCGCCTGGATGCTTGCCCCAGAAACACAGATTCCCCAGGAGGTCAAAATGTCCCCCAAATGCATGACACCCTCCACAGAGAGATGCAGGGGCTGAAGGCGATAAAATCTTCCTAACAACTGCCTCCAAGCCTTGAACACAAACCACCTGCTGATGGAAGATGCTCGGGAACTAAGGGTTTTTTTAGGAGAAACATTGAACATATTTTTTTCTCTTTCACTTTTTTAAATTTAAAAAAATGTTTAATTTATTGAACATGTTTGTTAAGTTCACTTGTATTCAATAGATACAATATTCTAAAGCATTCTTTTTAAAAATATATTTATTTATCTATTTATTAAAAAGGCCAAGTTAGAGGGAGAAGTAAAAGGACAAAAAAAAGAGGAAGCTCTTCCATTTGCTGATTCCCTTCTCAAATGGCTGCAACAGCATGAGCTGGGCCAGACTAAAGCCAGGAGCCTGGCATGCCATCTGGGTCTCCCACGTGGGTGCAGGAGCCCAAGAACTTGAGCTGCTTTTCCCAGGTGCATTAGCTGGATCAGAAGTGGAGCAGCTGGAGTTCAAGCTGGCATTCATATGGAATGCCAACGTCACAGGCTTAGCCTGCCAATATTGGCCCTGTAGCAGGTTCTGAGAAGGGTAAATTGGAATTGGAGACAAAACAAGGGAGAAGGAAAAGGAAGGAAAACAGAGAAGAACCAGGTGACGTGGCAAGGAAGCCCTAGAAGGAAGGTGCTGACTCTTGTGGTGTCCCTGGGGTCCCTAGACTGCCGTGCTCAGGGAACAGCCCCTGGCCGCCATGCTGTGAAAACCCCACATTTCTCTTTCTCAGCCTTCAGCCTACGTCCAAACAGGCTCCCCAAGCTCAGCCCCTCATCCGCCAACATTCACTGGATATCCCACCATGTACAACGCAGCAAAGATGATGTGCCTTAGGAGTGCCCCGGGGCAGCAGTGGGGAGAGGTCATGGACAGTCCCAGGATGCCCTGGCACCCACAAGAGGGGTGGGGGAAGCACTGGGCAGACCATGACCAGCCAAGAAGCAGGTGCAGAGGCTGCAACAGGAGCCGAACCCAGGCCAGCGGGCAGAGGTGGGCTGATAGACATTCCATCAAGAGTGAACGGCAGGAGCCAGGACACACAGGTGTCCCTGGGTTGGAGTCCCAATTCCCAGGATTCCTTTCCTTCCAGGCCATTCTCCCTCTGAGGCCCTCCTGGGATGTGCTGCTAGAGAAGGGAGAGGCACGTTCCCGTGGTCCTCCTGCCCCTGCAGTTGCTCACAGCACCTCCCCTCATATCTCTCTCCAGGTTAGAGTCCTGGATCCTGACGTTCTGCACCTGGTAGAGCATCAGCCTGTGCTGGCTGCAAGGCCTAGCACTCAGGACATGCATGGACTCCTTTGGGCCTCCTGAGGGCAGGGAGCCCAGGGAGCACCCTCTTGGGGGCACAGTTTCAGAGTGTGGACAGAGGTGGGACAAACACATTCCATCCTTCTTGTACAACAATGTCTCACAGGCCAGCTGTCTGGCAGATACCTGACATTGCCTGGCAGGTGCTGGCTTTCCAGCTGGGAGACCCAGGGTTAGGATTTCTATGTATATGGCCTGTCCAGGTGGCCAGAGCTTGGTGACCAACCTGACTGTACAGCAAGTGACATGGGTCTCTCTCTCTCTCTCTCTCTTTCTCTCTCTCTCTCTCTCTCTCTCTCTCTCTCACACACACACACACACACACACACACACACAGCCAAACACTAATGTGACAGTCTGTGGACACCAATTATGAAGTCTCTGATCCCCAAGGTGGCGGATGCCCCAGCCCCTTGCCCACCCCACGTGTGCTCACATCCACCTCCACCTGCCCACTCTTGCAGACAGAGCTTGTCGAATCAGGCTGAAAGCTGGGCAGGAGCCTCTGCTCCAGGAGCTGGGAGAAGACACCTGAAGCTGGACAGGGCTTTATCTGGGAGCTGCTGAATAATGAATCCAGCTCGGTCTCTGTGCTCCCAGACTGCACGCTGGTGCACAACACACACACACACACACACACACACACACACACACACACACACACACAACGTTGGGCTGACAACTTGGAGGGGCGGGAGCTGGCGGGGCTGGAGGCTCTGTGCGTCGTTGCTGGAAGGAGCAGCTCCCTCGGTTGCCTAGGTCTCTGTGGGCAGCGTTGCAGGGGTGCAGGAGGAGGTGGCTGCTGCGGCTGGCAGAAGAGGCAGGCGTGTGTGCTGCTCCACCAGCTCTGCTCTTCCCAGCCGTTCCCTCCCTGGCAGTGCCAGGCTCTTCACAGCCAGCATGGCCCTGTTCATTCACCTCAAGACAGTCTCGGAGCTACGGGGCAAGAGCGACCGGATCGCAAAAGTGACTTTCCGAGGTAGGGGGTCACCTAGCCCACACTCCGCTCCGGAGGCTGGTGGGGTTTGGGGCAGGCTGGTAGGAAGCAGGGTTGGAGGGAGGCTGGATGGAGAAGTTCTTGCAGGAGCTGGGGAGATGAGGGAATTTTCCCAAGTATCAGGGTCCCCTGTACTTTGGGGTTTCCCCTTATGATCACTAGTGTGCCAGTGTGTGGCAGAGCCTTCTGGAGCTCTCTCTCCCACCTCCAGGTTGGCCCCTTTGGGGTATGGAGTGGGATGGGGGCTGGACCTGGATGTCTAGGGTTGCCTGAGGTCAGGACAGCTTGGGAAGTTTGAGCCTAGCAGCAGAGCATACTGTTGGCTTCTTACTAACCTCTGTGGGGGCGGGAACCCTGACTCTCCTGTGTCCACGCTCTCCTGATCCTCTCAATCCTGAGTCCTGTTGTACCAGGGCTGGGGGAAGGAAGCCACTGGGAGCCCACATCTCCTGGGCCAAGAGGACCAGTGGGCAGAGAAGTGAGAGGGCCGTGTGTGCGTGTGTGTGTGTGTGTGTGTGTGTGTGTGTGTGTGTGTGTGTGTGCTTTAGAGAAGATGGGGGATAGCATGCAAACCCCCAAGGCAGCACCTGGTCCCAGGCTGGAGGCTGACAATCAGGAAGGGCTTCTGGGAGGAGGCAAGAGTTTCCTGAAACCTGTGGAATAGCAGGAATGAGAAGATGAGGACCTGGTAGGCAGAGGACAGAGTGCCCAAGGCTGGGGAAAGGGGACCTGCATCACAAAGGCAGAGAGGCCAGAGCTGTCCATGGTGGGCACAGAGAGGCAAAGTGGACATGACAGCAGACTTTCTGTCGACTAGAAGAAGGCAGACAGGAGGGGCGGGCTCCTTCCCACCCCAGCCCAGTGACTGTTTCCTCCACAGCACCCCGGAGTTGTGGATGCACCTGCTATCCTGTACCAGCTTTAGAACAGACAAGCACACCTTTCCCTGCTTCGAGTATGGCTCTGTGCTCACCAGGCAGCTCGCGTACTATTGCAGCTAGGCCAAGTTCAGGTGTACACAGACCCTCGTGACATTGGCAAAGGGGCCAAGACATGGTGTCTCAGCTTAAAGGAGCTCATGCCAGTTGCTTAGTCCTACAGCTGCTGTAGGGGAGCCCCTGTGTCTGCATAACATCCCTCTAGATTTGGAGCACAGAGGCTGGCCCTCTATCCTAGGTGCGCCCAACAGGAGTTAGCATGCCAACCACCTGGACCCTCACTGAGTGGAGAAATCCACTTCAAGTGTTTGTGGGAGGTGCCGGGGCCAGAGGTCCTGGCAGCAGGACTAGAGGACATAAGGATCTCTAGAAACAACATCGTCAGCAGAGTACCTGTGGCATTCAGCGGCAGACAGTTACAGGTGCTCCCCAGGAGACCAGCACCAACAGCAAGTCAGAAGGACCCCAGCACATTCCAGAATTTTCCACAGCATCTGCTGACACACAGAACTGCCAATGTCAGAGTAAATACTCTGAAGGAAGGAAAAATAGATGCCAGTGTTTAGGTGGCAGGAATCAGCCTGGTTCCTAGGGATGGAGGAAGTTGATTGTGCTGGATGTTGGATGGGCAGGTATAGGAGCAGTGAGTGGAGATAGAGATGGTGCAGCTGTTTTGGATAAGGGACTGACAGGACCTCAGGCCAGAGGGACCTGAAAGACAAGGGCAGTGGCTGGGAATATAGCCAAGATTCTGAGTCTGCTGGTGGCTGCCCAGACTACCTGACTCCAGGTTAGATGCAATGGAGGTGTCCTTCCTCTGTGTAACAATGAGGACATGTATCTGGAATCTTCTGGATCCAAGGCCCCAGGTGGGTGATGTCCCCACTTCCTGCCATGCAGGGCAGCTGAGAACCCACATGGGAGTCCTCAGACCTCCCCTGGCTCTCTCTGCTCTGGGGAGGTGTGTACATCCCATAGTGGGAATACCTGTTCATGTCATCTCTGCTGCCACAGCCTTCAGCTGTGACTTCCACCCTGTACTCCAGAGCCAAGGGACCATTGTCCCCACTGCAGTTCTCACAGCCTTTCATGGTCACATCTCTCCCCTTGCTCCCAGCCCCCAGCTCTGAGCTTCATTGGTCTATATTGTAACTTTTTATAGTAAAAGATCCTAAGCATACACAAGCACAGTTAGAGCAGTACAGCAGCCGGTCGCTCTCCCCATCCAGTGACCATGATCTTGAACTTATTCAAGGTCTCTCACTCCTGTTCCATTCGCACCCCTTCCCACTCCCACTCCAGATCATTTTGGCCACAGGATTTTATCTGCGAATAGTCAGTAGATAAAGACTCCAAGACCCCTCAAACTTCATCATTCCTAAACGGCAAATCATAACTCCCTATACCATCCAACAGTCAGTAATCAAAGTCCTATTATCTCATCACTGTCAACTTTTTTAAAATATTGATTTTTTTTATTGGAAAGTCAGATCTACAGAGAGAAGGAGAGACAGAGAGAAAAATCTTCCATCTGGTTCGCTAGCCCAAGTGGCCATAATAGCCAGAGCTGAAAAGATCTGAATACAGAGCCAAGAGATTCTTTCTGTTCTCCCACACAGATGCAGGGTCCTGAGGATTTGGGCCATCTTCTATTGCTTTTCCAGGCCACAAGCAGGGAGCTGGATGGGAAGTACAACAGCCGTGATACAAGCTAGTACCCATATGGGATGCTGGCGTATGCAAGGCAAAAACTTTAGTCACTAGGCCACGCCCATCAATGTAATTTTTAATAATAATTTATTTAGAGCTTCATTTTGGTATTTTACACACCAAGTATTTATTTAATGACTCATTCTTTCTTTCACTTACTCATCCAGGCGGTGAATCTGTGCTGAGGGCTGTTGTGTGTCCTGAGGCAGGGTGGGCAGCAGAAAGTGGGGCAAGTGTGGGTCACTGCTCAGGGCACCATCAGGGTGAGCATGCAGACTGTCATGGCAGCCTCGGGGCAGCTTGGGGCAGGGGCTGCCCAAAGAGGGTGAGCCAGAGTGAGCTGGAGGAGGCACTAAGGGAGGGGAAGGGGACTCAGCCACCCCACCAGGAACGTGCAAGGCCAGGTGGGAAGGGCAGGGCCCAGGAAGGCGTTTAGACTGAGCAGAGGGGATGAGCCTTCATAGACAAAACCCATGACAGGCCCCATTGGAGACACAGAGAGCTGGGGAGTCAGGGTAGGGCTAGGCAGCATTCTCAGCAGGAGCCAGGAGCCTAAGCTCTGACCTGGGGAGGAACTTTCTGGAAGCCAGTAAGGCTACAGGAAGTGGGCCCAGGGAAGAACCTGGGGTCTTGTGTATGCAGAGGCCGTGGGGGTGGCAGGCAGGAGTGACCTGGCATTCAGAGAGGAGGGGCAATGCTGGGATCTGGGGGAGCAAGCAGGAGGGCAGGACTTGGTGTTTCGGAATGAGAGGAGCATGGTTTGTGGCTCTGGGGACAGCAGAGGACTCAGGGAAATCCAGGGAGCAGTGGGCGGGGCCTCAGTCGATCCTTACACCAGTGGCCAACATCCTGAAATCTGCCAGACATGGAGGGCCGGAGCCAGCCCCACAGGGGTGGGCAGGTTGATGAGCCGCTTTGCCAGCAGCAGCATGGTGCTCAACACAGGGCAGGGGCAGGAGCAGGCAGTCAGTGAGCATCAGGCATCCCAGGGCAATCTACGATGCAAGCAGCACCAGGCAGAGACCTGTGTCTCCTGCCCACGGTTCCAGAAAAGTCTCTTGAGACAGAGGATGTGGTGTGATCGTCTTTACCCTGTTCCTCAAGGCCTCTTTCTGGGAAGACTGAGCCGCTCTCCAGGCAACGGATTCCACAGTCCTAGTTTCTGTTCAGTGTTTTTCAAAGGAGCGGGGCAGCTCCTGTTTCACCAAAGTTCACGTTTCATTCACCAGCTTATTTGAAAGCCAGCAAGGAAGATCAAGTCAGAACGGTATTTTTACCCAGCTCGAGGGTGTAGCAGCAGGCACACTCCCATTCTGCCTCATCACCGTCCCCATGGCTGGCACAGAACGGGTGCTCAGCACAGCTTGTGAGTCAATAGGACCACCAGCTCCTCCATCTGTCCCTATAACAAAGGGACGGGGACTCCGCAGTTGTTGAGTGTGTGGCTGGCAGCACGAGGAGCTCAAAGAGGAACACCGTGCTGTTGCCCATCCTTTGCTCCTGGGTCTGAACAATGGGAACCAGAACGAGCAGCTACTTCCAAGACCAAGGGGGTGTCTGGGAGACGGGTAGGGTGCCACAGAGCAAGGAAGTACCAGCCCTGCCCTGCCACTGACTCATACATGAGCCTGGGGTTCCACTGTGCGTCTCTGGGACGGTGAACCAGGAGGTGCACATGGCATTGGAATAACAATTTGTGCAAAATGAAGGATTGGAGGTGGAGGGGGCCAATGCTTGGTTAAGAAATGGAAGAAGGAAACGGGCAGCCTCCTGCTACCGGAGGGGTCCCCAGCACCCCACCACATCTGGCTCGGCGAGTTGATACTGATTTCTAAGCTTGCTGCCTAAGGCACTCAGCTGCTTTCCTAAATGATTCTTTTTGGAATTGAATCTCTTTGCTCCTGTGCCATTAACTCCCCTTCTGCGTTCCTCACAGGAGGAGAAGTGTTATTCAACAGATCATCATAAACAGTTAGGAAGGAAAACCATTAGGGGTCTAGGAGATTGGATGCTGTCGGAGACCACCGTGACCCAGATGGCATTTCTGGGGTGTTACACTCCCAAACCAAAAGCAGTATGTCTGTGTTCTTCCATACAGGTGGAATACTCGCTCACTGAGACAGACCACAGGCTGGGCGGTTAAATGAGCCTCATGTTTCCAAAACCTGGCATCCTCCAGAGCCTGCTCTCTGTCTACAGTGGAATCTGATTAGAGATCAATAAGATAACTTACAGCTTTAATCATGCATGAGAAGGAAGAACACAAATTAAACGATAATGAAAACGTGGCAATGTTTAAAGGTTTAAATACAGCAGGAAAGAAAAGAGTAAACT